ACGATCTTAAATGAAAAGAATACGGTGCTAAAGCCGTAACTCACTCCTATTCACCCTGGCCCGGGCCGTCATTGGAGCGTGTCGATAAGATCGTACGTTGCTGCCGATGGTCTGGGTGTACTGTCGATTGCTGCGCCACGTATACCTGAGGCTTCTCAGGAACTCAAAACGTCTGATATGTCCTTTTCAGGCAATACGTTGTAACAAAAAACTAAATAAATGTTGCCAAAAATTATAGCTTCTGACGTGAAGCTACCGCTTGGACGAGAAAAAGTTTCTCTATCTCGACATGGAAAGCAGCACCAATAAATATTGGTATAAATAATAGGCAAAGAGGCCTTCAGCGAAAAACTAACTTGTCACTGGTGCAATCAGTCTAACAATGTAAACTTGAAAGCCGAAGATCGGAAACGAGGTAACTACTGCATCTTAGGACTATTTAACACCTCAGATGGAAGAATTATTTGCTCTACTTATATAGAATGTTAGCTAAAGCAGAGCCTAACAATACGCAATTGTAATAATATTTCTTCCTAATATCTATTGCGATCTATAACGATAAACTAACGATCTAATCAGAAATTGGTCTCTTCTGCTCAACACCATTGTTCGGCATAATCGTTTTTGGATAGGTATAACGGACTGATTAACGTCTTACTTATGGCGACGATCAGACAGACTTTTTACTAATGATAGTTGCGAAATCGTATCTAGAGTACTTCTTTCCATATGTCCTGGACTCGGTATCTGAAACTCATAATTTTTTATCTTCACTGTTTTCGTCACAACATTTGCTTTGAAGAACATTGTCTCGAACTATCAAAGAGCGTATTGTTTAGGCTCTGCTTTAGCTAACATTCTATAAAAGTAGAGCAAATAATTCTTCCATCTGAGGTGTTAAATAGTCCTAAGATGCAGTAGTTACCTCGTTTCCGATCTTCGGCTTTCAAGTTTACATTGTTAGACTGATTGCACCAGTGACAAGTTAGTTTTTCGCTGAAGGCCTCTTTGTCTATTATTTATACCAATATTTATTGGTGTTGCTTTCCATGTCGAGATAGAGAAACTTTTTCTCGTCCAAGCGGTAACTTCACATCAGAAGCTATAATTTTTGACAACATTTATTTAGTTTTTTGTTTTTATTTTATAGCGATGTATATTTATACAGCCAAGGATCGATGAAAGTGTTTACTAAATTCAATCCACTGATGCTGCTTGGTTTAAATTAAAGCTATTTAGGTTTTTGGATCTGCTAGATAGCCCTGGACAGTTTAGCAGTTATGTTAATTTGTAGAAAATAAAATTTAGCTTTCTGTTCATTATATTAGCGACATATCGACATTGGATTGTATCATATGTCGAAATATCTGTATAGGAACAAGTGTCGTGCCTGTTTTCTTGTACTTTCATGTATATTTTTCATAGAATGGTCGAAACATCAACAGGTACAGCATTACCGTATGGCATTGCAGGATTCATGAATATAATGGCGGACTGAAGCCACAGGCGTAAACATCTTCGAAGACGTATGCCGTCCGACCAGATCAGATGGCCATCGTTGGCAAGCACGTATGCTAGTAGCTCTATATTTGAGCTCTGATAGAATGTTAACCTAGCGTATAAAACAAAGCCCTCCACGGACTTTCATGGTAACGAATTGACCTTGTTTTTTGGTGGCATTGGCCTATCTTCACCGCTGGGGCGCTTTGATAACTGATGCAAGAATACACTTTAGATATTCCGAAATAGCCCCATGGTGTCGGACATGCGAAATAACATCCCGGGATGCCACCTGCTGCTTGCAGCAGTTGCAGCAAAGCAATCCCAGAGCCATTCAGGACTTTAGGTTGTCGAACCCGTGTATCCATAGCAAGCGTGCGATGTGTCTACGCCAAGCGTCAACTATCCGCACATTTTAAAATATGACTTAAATGATTTTAGGCACAAACGAACATGCGCAGCTAAGAGCAAAGTTAGGGAGACTTGTTAACAGCACCCTGGGGAATACGACTTTATGGTAAGGTCAGGCCCGTACATAAACGAAGTGATCTCTGCAATGCATTTTTTAAATATGTTGGAGAACTGTTATTTATTTGTATGTAAGCATTTCATCTAATTATCATATTAGCTATTGTTAAAGTTCGATATAATACGTCTACGGGCACCGGGCTTTCGTAATGTGTGTGCTTCACGATACTGTGAGGCTTCAACTAACCGTTTTGAATTGCAGTACCCGATAACTCTGTGCTATTTTTGTCCCGACTTTTACGTCCGCACATATTTTCATAGATATAAGATTTCGATGACCAACTAGACCTAACGGGAATACCGAAAACGAACATTTTATATGGTAGCAAGGCTTCTAGGGTGTAGGACGTACAACCCCGTCATTTACCAGCATCCTTTTAACTTGTTTAAGCATCATTAGTATAGCGTATTTCCTAATATTACGGCTATCATTAGCACTTAGTATGGACTGTGTAGCCTAGCGCGATTTCAGCGTATAGTTGATTTCTGGAGGTCGGTGCCTCAATAGTCAACTGAAGTGGAAGTTATAAGTATGTCTTGCTGGGGTCCATTTAACAAACTTACATACTCCCCTGTAAAGGTTCTGTCGCAATCTGCTTATAGCGTCATAATTCAGTCTCGACAGCCGAAGCAGTCGACTTAGTGCGATCTATTTTTACTTACATTACGAAAACCCGAGAAAGAGCCCTAAAATAGTGTTCAGTTAACTCGTCTATTTGGTGTTCAACTATCTACGAATTTTAGGAAAAGCAAACAAGTATACTTTTCTAGATACTCTATATTTTTTCGACAACTCTTCCCAGCGAAGGAAACCCCCTTGTATCCAATTCGCACTAAAATCCTGAGGTTGTAGTTTCATATGAGACATTTAACTGACAAATTTAAACCTGAAAACGTTATTCTATATTGGGTTATAATATTTGGAACAAGTGATAGTTCAATCCTTTCACTGAATTTCAGTGATATAGTATAAATATAAACGTATTCTATTCTATGATGTATAGTAAGCCGCTCGTTTGTTTACTTATCATAAGCCAGTTAGTTCGTACGGCTGTAATTAGTGCCAAACACAAGCATCCCATATATACAGGACCTGGTCTCTATAACATCTCAATATTTAACACCGCAGGAAGTTAGCTACGAGTCGGGCGAGTTTCACATTAATGAAAGATTATTGGGTGGGGTCTGCAACGATTGTCAGAGCCACCTAGCGATTTCGTCGTTCGTCGAAAGCGTTTAAATCAGAATTGAGGACAACGGTGTATCATTTTGCATTTGGGTGGCACTAGTACGCTATCTCGTTTGCTGGTGGCTGCCAGCCGGAGTTTCATTGATGAGGGATGGAGCGACGCGGGTGGAGCCCCGCACTATTCACGCAAAAAGAGAGCGACGAATTGACTATTCTGGAGACCCAATTCCAGATACGGCGCTGCTGCTGAGTTTGATGCGCTTTCCCCAAACGAGGTTGACTGGCTGACTGCCGATGTCAGCACAGCGATCGAAGACTTGCTGCTTAGGCCTTACATGGTAGTGATTGATGAACTCTGAAGAATTACGGAATCATCACGACGGGTTAAAGCTGACACTGGCCAACCACCAGTTGAGACCCGGTCAAGTAACACCGGATGTGAAATATACCGAATACTTAGCCATGACCTCTCTACGTGTCCATATCATTATATATAATTCTGCTCTACAAATAAGCTTGAACAAATCTGAACCACACGTCTCTACTCACTATAAGTAATGATTTTAAATAATATGCTGGTTGGCTTTCTCTATACTATATTAGAAATGGGCTGTCTGTTCTTGATACAAATATATGATCGCTGTCTCATTTTTTAGCGGTAAAGTTCCGATTGAATAGCGACTGTAACCATTTTGGTTCGACAATTTGCCGTTACAACTGGACCACTGCGTGATTTTTGAAAGAGCTTTAAATGTATTTAACGATCCGAGTCAAGTAAAATAGGAAAAATTAGGATCGATACAAAAGGGGGTGCACGTACCCAAAAATGATCTCAGGTTTTTAGTGGTGGCTGTTGTCTGACATACGCACACATCAGTACACAGCGTTCCGCACGTATTTAAGTGAGAAAAAGCAACTGGCAAGCTTAGCTGATTAGCCATTGTTGCTATCACCTCCATCGAAAATACGACTTTACATCCCGATAACTGTAGGGTACTGATCAAATGGGCGTTGATGTTGAGGCTCTTGTCTTGATTACCGCATCTGTCCTAGGTTGGAGTAACAATACACAAATAGACTTGTCCTGAACCTATTCTCTCCGGACGATCTACAAACATTCGTTTGTACATGGCTGCCAAATGCCATTGGCCCAGCATACCTATAGCTATGTAGGATAGGCCTTATTTTATTTCTAATTAATTGGAGCGCCTTTAGTCAGTACGACAAGGACAACAAACGTTCGGTTCTTATAAAAAGAAGAACGTTGATTAAGTGAGTAATGATGTTGCAGTAACAGCAGTTCTACCATTCTAGAGGCCATCAGGGCTCGTCGTCGTGTAGCATTACACTTTGACTAATATAAAGACATCTCAGGTGCAAAAGGCCGACATTTACCTAAGTGGATTATCGAGTTATAGATCGATATCGTGTACTGGATGCAGATGATGATCGTAATAGTAGCGATTGTAAACGAAAATAAAAACAAAGCGGACTCTCGAGGGTGAAAAAGAAAGTCAATAGGATGTCGGCGTATAAAAGAATTCAAGTAGCATTCAGCCTTAAAGTCGCAGGAAAGAAGCTCGAAGTTCGAGCTTCGAAACGGCACTTCTCGTGACTTGGCTGATTTGCAATTATATCTAAGTTCGAGCTTCGAAACGGCACTTCTCGTGACTTGGCTGATTTGCAATTATATCTATTGCATTCGAAAAGGTGACATATAAACCGTGAATATAATAATATACCGAATAGGTCTATATATAAAAGTGAAGACTAAACTAACAGATCAAAACAGCAATAATACAATCGCACTTTACTACTACTAACTCTTTGCAAACGTCAGACCACTGAATGCTTCAGCGAGGTGAGGCCGTTATGAAGGTCAACGCAAAATGTGGTTCGTTCGAAGTTAAGGGTTATCAGAAAAAAAGCGCATGCTTTTATCGATCTTGTTTAGTAAAAGACGAATAAAATGTCTACTAATCGTAAGTGAATCCGTAAATGAAATCGGTAGAATCTAGGACGTTTCTTTCTAAATCCAGCCACGTTGTCATACGGTATGGCTTTTAGCGAAATGAGAGTATTCGTTGATTTTTGCCTAGGCTATGCAACGGGGCCCAATTGCCAAAGACACACGAATCCTATTCGCATCGTTCACGCGATTTTATTGATTTGCATAGCATAACCGATACCGCTGCCCGACGTGTCCTTGGTATCGCTGGCTTTCCCGTTGGCTACCTGTGATATAAACACAATGAGATTTTACGAGAATCAACTGCCGCAAAAACAGGTCGAAGAATGAAGCTGTAAGTAAGACAAGAGTTCCATAAGGGGATCAGCAGCTTATTACAAAAGCATGGATTCACGCTATTGAGTAAATTTTTATAGCAATGACTCAGCGCCGTACCAATGCTGGAAGAAGCCTACGTATCGATAATATACGTAAGGTCATATATAATAATAACAGTTTATAAATAAACATAGAATTAGCTTTGAGATAATGTGTGAGGCAGACGTGATATACGGCATTGAAAACCCGATCGATATAAAGCCCTCCGATGCACTGATCCGTTCCGATTTCGGTCTTCAAAATGATTATGCATACTTTCTTTCCAACATAATTATAGATTTTATTTGTTCTAAAATAGATTTTCACTAAGCAAAAAGATAACTATGTTTAAGTTTTAAGTAAAATATGGAAAAAATACAGAGATATTTACACTATGTGCTAAGATACATAGCTCCTACGGAACGATTCTTAGTCGTAAGCTTCTACAGCGTAAGACACTATTCATTGTATATATTTTTTTATTAATCTATCCTATTTCGAATCTCATTATTATAAGTGTTAATCGATCATATTGAAACTACTCGATGAACTGGGTTTTGTTGTGCTGTGGGATTATTTCATGTATAATTTTAATTCTGCAATTCTAACTATCTACGTATCATAGCGTCCAGCCAAAACGAGGTCAATTCATATTGAAAATCAGCGGGTTTTCGAGCGCATGCCTTAGCACAGTATATTAGGCCAATATGTCCTTGATATCAATATTCCTATCGTCAATTAATCGTAATTATTTCAGGCAACGGGGAAACGTTTAAAGGAAGGAGCACATATTAACAAGTCGCTTCTAGCGCTTGGCAATGTTATTAACGCCTTAGCTATGAAATCGGCGAAGCACGTCAACTTCCGGGATTCAAAACTGACCCGGTTACTCAAGGAAGCTTTAGGCGGTAACTGTCGAACGCTTATGGTAGCCCACATTAGTCCGGTACCATCTGCCTATGAGGATAGCCGTAATACGCTTATCTACGCAGATCGGGCACAAAATATTACAAATAAGGTATGATCCATATTAAATTCTCTGTCCCACTTTCTCGATTTCTTTCTAAAACAATATAATACTTGGCTGGTCTAAAACCCAAGCATAATTACGCTAGTGGTAATAAGTTTATCATCAACTTATCACACACCATCTGCTCATACTTGGGGTAGATAATACGCTAGAATTTGAACAGACAGAAATTAGCACAATGCTACTGGTTGCGCTGTTGCTACCCTATTCTTGCCTTATAACCTTATACTTGTCATTGCATTGAATTTACTAGCTGGGGCGGCGGGCAAAGCAGAATGTTCATTTTTATATGGAAACCCACGAGCTTTCCCTAAATTGTCATATGCACCGCTATATATATGTATATATTCAACGCAATGCTTTTTTGGCCCAAACTGAAGCGACATATTTATTGAAGAAAACGTAAGAAAGCGACGTGTTCCTTTATTACAGTCCCTTTACCTGCGTATTGCGGATAAGTCTCATTTCAGTGCTTGCACTGATGACACACAGTTTCTAGCCAATCATCCCAATCCTTCCAGTACAGTATTTCCTATAAAATTTTTACTGGTTTACTGCAAACGATATGATTAAACAGTCAATTTGGCCACCTTATAGGCGACTCTATGATAATTCAGCTTGACTGTAAATGGTGCTCGGTAGAAAATTGTGTTAATTTAGAACGTTTGAAAGGCATATAACATACCAGATGCAGGCTCGTACCGCTAGTATTTTTATTGCTGCGGAAAACCCGCCGGATGTTACTCCATCGGAAACCATTGTAACTGGGTTGATATCAAGTGTGAGGCTGGTCTGAAATGGATTTTAGAGCAAAGCACACAGGCGTTCTCTACATAAGCATATTTGGTGCACATTGCGACGTCACGATTTACTTCATGTTCCAATGTAGTTTTACGTACAACTACGAGCACTTATGCAAGTCGCGGATTACTTGGAAAATGGGTCTGAACCCTTTTCTAAAATCACCTGTCTTTGGGTTATCACCGTAGCGAACGATTGATTTCGAAGTGTTTTGAATATTTCGATAAACAAACGATGACATAATTATAAGTATAGTATAAGGTCTAAAATATTTAATTCATTGGGCCATATTTTTCGACAGGGTGAAGGCCTATTTCTTTCCGGTGCAGGAATTTTAGTCAAAAATAACCGCTAGATGTGCTACCCGTAGAAACTCAAATAATTTGCAGAATTGCTGAATTATACCTCGTAGTCAAATTCAATATGTGCACGATGTGTTCATGGTAGCTCCCTCATTTAATAAACAGGATTCGAGCTTTTTGTGGTTTTCGCATAAACAAAACTCAACCCTATTAAGTATCGTTTAGTTGTTTGTAAACACGTTCGTATGGCGTGCCTTTGCTTTATTATTAAATGCTGTATTTCTATTGTATTCTCCGTTAGCCTAATACCCTTGCGCCTTTCCAGTAGTCAACGCAATCCCACCTACGGAATAGCGCTTACGTTTAGCGTCGCGTCGTTCAGCCTCATCAGCCAATACTAGTCGCGAATACTAGCTTCATATAAACCCGGCGTGGATAAATCCCTAGCCGTCCAATATTTCCATCAGTTAGCGCCGGTAGTAGCCTGTGACATTGAAATAGATGGAGATACGAAGCGTAGTGGTCTGGGCATTATTACCATTTGAGTTAGTGGATGCACTGGTATAATTTGTTTCAGTTCGGTCCTATCAGATTCTAATATTCTCTAGGATGGCTATTTTTGCAGTTTCACAGAAATTGGCGAACTTGACTGGCCCAGATATTTGTTTATATCTTGAGGGCTTCAAGGGCTGTTATGTACATCTGCTAAATTACAATCGGGTGCAAACGTTTTCCGGGAAGTTTAGTAACTTTATTTTAGGAGTTCTACCATCGTGATCCTAGTCCTTGTCTCAAAATTCGCCTTTAAAGGACTAACTATAGAGGAGTTTGTCGTATGGTAATTTAGTGTACGAATGCAGTTTTTTAATAAATCACGATTTGATTTACCTCTGTAGATTCGATCGAATGTGGTGGATGTAAGTACGCATGTAAACCAGTACCAGGGCATTATCACAGAGCTGCGAGCTGAAATTACCAGACTGCAGGATAAAATCGACCAAAACGAGACGAACAATGTCAAGATTCTACCGATGCCCACATCAAACGGCCATGGTAAATAAGTATCCGGTAGTGTGGATAACGGAACATATGTAAGAAATGTTTATATATACTAGATATGCCATACACCTTTAATGCAGGAGTCTTCTCACGAATGACTTCTAAGACCTGATGGCCAGTTGCTGTTTCCAAAGCTCTCTGATATCTCCAGGATGTTTGAGCTGTTATCCTGCGCCACTGGGTATATACACCAAATTCGTACGATGTCGTCTAGATCGACTAGAGATATATCAAAAGAATAGGGTGTTGTCGCTTACGCTTTATACTGCAGAGAGGCTACACAGAGATTAGCCTGAACAGCACAGCTATGGTAATACGGTTGATTAAAGTGCTCGAGCGCCAACGGTCGAGAAACCCGTGCGGGTTGATATTAGGTCAAGGTAAAAATAACCAGTTGTTAAAGGACTGATTAACTAGGGTTAAATCGTCGTTACTGTTGGTTTCATAGTGGGGAAAAAGATGGAAGCAGTTACACAGCAGATTCGAACACGTCATCACATATTAAGTCACAGATGTGTGCTTTCGCAAAGAGAACCATAGATGAAACCTTCGATTTTTTTTTTTTATATATTTTCAGAAGTGGACGGACAAAGAATACTTATGAGGGATCAAAACTCGAGTTTTACGCCTCATATTGCCGTTAGGCATTCTATAAAATGGTAGACTTTTAGCACGTAATGCAAGGTCTTTAAACTCGCTTTCGAACCTAGCCTATGACATATCCTAGCCTACGACAGAATCGTCGGAAAAGTCCTGTATTCACTACGACACCGCGAAGAAATGTTTAGATTGCATCAATCTATTTTCAGTTTTCTCACTTTGGAAGAATGGTCACCGGAAATTACGCATTAATGAAAATATAATTGAATTTACTGAAATGGCAATATCTACTTAAATGTATATCTGAAAACCGTTTGTAACACTCTCTGAAGACGTGAGAAAAAAGCAAATATTTAATTGTTTTAGGGTGCAAGGAAATTCAATTTTATTTTATGTCTTCCACAAACAATTACATTTTTTCTTTAATGGAAATCGTCTAGTTATTTAAAGATTTATGCCTAACTTCGCCTCATTTTGCTATGCCGTCACGTACATCTGAGACCTTCAAATTGGCTCGCTTTCATACAACATGCTGCGTTGTATTGTATATATTGTCGACCACCATTTGTACAAGCGAACGGCCGCACTAGTAATAACCGCATATCACAAAAACATCGATTTTTTTGTCACTCGTTTGCATGTACCGTTCGTGCTATCACCAGCAGCGGGTAAGATGGGGGACGGCAGGAGGAGAGGGAGAGTCGTCGTAATTCGCTGTTTTATATATATATATATATATATATATATGTATATATATAGCGGCAAACTCACAACTATTACACTTCGAAGGTGCGGACTCGGCTATAACCTATTATCAGGACATTACATCATTGACAGTGGATGTCACGTGTGCTGAAAAATGTTACCATGGTCGCGGTTAGGCGTCATGGTTAGGTCGCGGAACGGCTGTCTGAACGAGGAGAGTTGGGGCGGCTTGAGCTCGTTGAATGGGGTGAGAGGGAATGGAAACAACCGGTAACATATATATCGAGGGTAAGGGTAGATCTATCATAACGAAAAGTGATGAAGTACCCATGTAGTCCCCCTCCTGCAGAATGGTCTCCAATTGATCTGGAGTAAAACGCGTTTGTGCTTTAGGGTTTGGCTTGCTTGAGTTTTTGCCCCTCTTCCCGTCCCTTCATATGTTATGAATAAATTTCGGATTGGGGTCAGGACTCAAACAGAGGCCTGATGGAAAGATACATACCTACAGATCCTGGGAAAGCAGATTATGAACAGGGTTGGCTGGGTGCCGCTGAAGTCAGTGCTTGAGTAATGCTGAAGTCTATGTGTCCGTCACTGCTCGTACACAATTCATTTTATGTTTTCGGCCCTCATTGTAGCTTAATTGCGATAAATCATGTACCTGAAACGACGATATTACCGTACTTACAGTTATCCTTTGGTAACCCACAATAATACAGATACAATTTTATAGCTTATTGTTTTTCGTAGATATACTCGTCACAATCGGCAAACATTGAAAAAAATTGACACTGTTAATCTTACATTGAAAGGACGTCTGGTACCAAGATGTCCACGAGAGCCTGTAATGGATCACGAATAGTATAGGCGTCCTTGTAAATATGAATGAACTAGACAAAATACTAAACAGTAACGCTATTCATCCCTTGGCAACACAGTTTCCACACAACGCAAATAGCTTGACTAAAAAGACGCATTATTAAAAATTGAGCCCTCGCAGACAATGGGGGTGAATAGACGAGATAGCCAAATGTTATCATCCATTTGCCTTTTCACAAAAAGCTCGTCGGGGGTTTTCATACATTTTCTATTCAATGTCATTCCGTGAGCTCTCTATGATTGTGGCTGAACTATCTTTTCCGATCGGTTTTTCACCTGATCGTAAGATTCAGGCTATTTTTTTTCGATGTACGATATTATTGTGACTTGTCTAGGCGCTACTTTATTATGTATATACGGTTGCAAGTTGTGTTGGACTAGTGAATAGTTTCTAATGACTGTATGATACTGTAACTACAGGGATTTAATGTAATAAATATTAAAATAAATGAAAACTAATATGTTACTGAATCAAACGATGTTCCAGAAGGTGATATGGCATATTTACAAAATTGAATGTTGCCCTCCGAACCCAAATAAATCAACCACCATTTTACTGTATGAAACATAACATCGAAAATTCATTCAATTAAACTATGTTGTTTGAATGATAACTCGTTTATTCTGCTCGTTCGTGTTAGGATTTCGGAAATTTTTTCTATCACAAAGTTGATGGCATAGCTGAAAAGGAGCACGAGTATGGTAAAAAAAATCTGTCATTTTGGTTTTTGCAGAATTCAGTCGCGCGATAGAACTCATTTGCCTCTGCTTAATAACATTGGCTGCCAAAGTACCACTGTTTCCAACGGTTGTCAATCAACGCGGCAGGATTCATGGGGCTACTAAATATTCTTATTGTCTCGTTAGTTCATTTATGTTTATCTGTTTGTTCAATTTCTTTTACCTGACTAACCTGACCGAGAGGTGGTACTCTTAAAAATCCACCAAATTTAAGTGCCAAAACCGTGATTGATGACCTCGACTACGGTTATGAATTTTTTTATAATTCACCTTCCCTTTCATTAAACTTAATTTCAACCTTGCCGCATTTTCTTAACATACCGGCTTACAAAACTTACAATCGTCGAAGCTTCAACGAATAAAAAGCTCGCATAGCGAACTGTCTGTATCGTCTAAGATAGAACTCCCGAGACAGAAATAGTCGAAGATTCATTATAATTCGCCTACTAAAGACCTAAATATCGGATCGAGGATTTCAATAAGCATCTCTACCTGTATGCCGTGAACCGTTATATAATTGCGTCACTTTAACGTATGAAATTAACGCCTGTCAACCTAATATCTACGTTGCAGCAATGAACAAGAAAGTTGAAGAGGAAAACGTAAAGAATCCAGCAGAGTTAAACAAGCTAAGGCAACAGCTCGTCGAATCGTTTAACAAACAGATGATGGTTCGATCAAAGATGATGGAAGTGGACAATTGTCTACTGGCGTTAAGCACCGATTTGGAGAAGCTTAGTATCGTCATCAATCAATGGGAGACGGAGAAACTAAAGACGGAGGAAGGTGGCGAGCCGGGTAAAAAATCAAAATATTATATATAAAAAATCAAATATAGTAGAAATAGAGTCAACACCGTTTCCATAGAACCTTTGACTAAGCGAACATGTTTTACGTACGGTATCGCCGTCGGCCACTCCATGAGACGCCCGGCTCGACGAAGTGCATTCATACTACGATTCGAACCTAGATAACAGCTTTTCCTCTAGGGTAAGCAGGAAAATACGTAACCAAGTAGGCTAGCACCGAAGCACACAAAGTATTCGTAAAAGTCACCGCTACTAGGTGGAATAACAACGAAGGACATTAATGCCTTGCAGTAGAAGACGAGCCCGATTATGTGAAACAGGCGTGGGAGGACGTCGAATTTATTCAAGGCGAACAGCAACGTTTCCTTCAATTACGTGAAGATATCGAAAAAGAGTTCGAAGATGCAAGAGACAAGACTTATGAGCTCACCGAAAAACTACCCCATGTAGTTACCACTGAAGATCAGCGGGAACTTCTACGATTACTTACACAGGTAAAAATCGCGGTTTTGCGAATATAACAATAGCACAGCACCAACTTACTTATACGTAAGACCCTGAAAAATTGTCTCTCAAAAAAAAATAAGAACGATTACGGAAAGCTGGAAATTCAGGATAAAGTATATGAATTTTTACCTGTCGATCGGTGCTAATTTTTTATCCCAATAGGGTTATTTCTTTCGAACGACATCGCATCTTCATATAGGTACTACAAGAACTTTAGATTGATCTTTTGTATAACTGATTCGTACTGCTCTATAGAAATATGATAAGATCACTTTATCCTAGTCTTAGTCATACGATGTCGCATAGAAAACGTGCTCGAAAGCAATACTCTTAGTGCTATTTGTTTATATATTATACTAACGGACGTTCGTTGTTATTCGAAATTGGCGACTGATTTCGGCTAAACTTGCTGAGTCTGAAGTTTGCCAATACACACATTAGCTGTTTACAGTATGGACACCAGAAAACGAACTGGAGTAATGCCTTCCCAAGCATCATTCGTCAGGGGAATCCGCAAGATGTATACTTGTGCAAGGTGATCGCAAGGAAAAGGTGCCGCTACAAGCTTCTTACCCGTTTGATCATACGGCTTTTTACGAGGCTTTTGAAGCTTGTTCACGTGTCTGACTGAAAAGCGTGTATATTGGGTAGGGTGCCTCACCCTTACGGCTTGCTGTATACTACTTTAGCAAATGGACCGTATCTGCCGTTGGCCAAAACAAGTGTTTTACTCCGTATTCGAGAGCTTTTAATGGACCTTTGTTAAGGCGCTCCAAAACAGGACTTTAGCAAAGTTTACACCATATAAAGCCCACTGAAATACCTGTACTTCTGACCATCAGATGCAGCTTATTTTGAAAACAATTTAACTAGAATAGATGGTGGAGTGGCTTAATGTAAACCGTTTATCCAATCAACTGGAGCAGCACGGGTGGTAAAGGTAAGCATTTTTTATGAACGGCGTTGCCTCTATTAGCAGACCCGATAACTTTCCACGAAACCCAAGTGGTGTAGGAGCATTTTTTGTCGACGAAATATAACCGGCGCCACATGAGATTGCGTCGGTAATCATTAAACGGATACGTGTACCTTCTCGACGACAAATCGTTACTTGTAGAGGATCATATTCGAATTTCCTTCCACCCGTCCTTATTGAACGTTTATCAGCATATGCAAGAAGAAGACGGCAAAGATCCAGATGGACTTCTATAGCGCAGAAACGCTGACCAATTGACCCTGGCGAAAGGCGAATAGAACTAACAGACATAAGAGTCACGCGTTTTACAGTACATAGGCTCCGCCATATCCTACAGGGTGCTCTAGATTTTCATTTGCTGAACGCCACATGTGTCTGAACAAAATGCGGCGGAGATAGCCTACGGTATGACTTCATCAAGATTGGGCTTGGCGATCGCGGCTGCGTAAGAATGAGGGTTGACTGTCATTGATGCTATTACGGTTTTCCGCGATCGCAGGCTTGTTACCTCCATCTAAGTTGAAGTAAGGGCATTTGTTTTTCAAGTATGGCTGATTGTTTTTGACACATAAGGCCTGCGTAATTGTCTTGATGCACGCGCGAACATCTATACAGATAGACAGAGTTAATGCAATTGCGTATATTGAGCATGTCGATGTCTGTTGTTTCGACCTCTCGATATGAACGATTGGCATGTGATAGTTCATACCATGGCTAGCAGCAGGACAGCGAGCTGTAAGGGCGGAATGCTGTATAGCACACGGGGCCTGTTGTGTAAGGCACACGATGCAGTCTAGCTACAAACCTCGTCATCAATCCTCATGTATCGCTAACGCTAGGCAATAGCTATCTATCAAAAGCTCCCCCACGCTTGGCTGGGAAATGAACAAACTGAATATGTATATTTAAAATGATTAATAACGTTTGTAAAGATTACTTAATCGGTACGCTGCAGGTTTCTGAGGGTGAAATGTTTCTCTATATAATATAGGTCACCGCTTACATGTATACCAGTTATAGTTAAACAAATTAACAAACTACCTTTGTTTCTGAACACAACCATAAACATGATAATCTGCATGTTTTTATTTCTATTTTACGGAAAAAATATAGATTTTTCTAAAGGATTGATTAGTTCACATAGATTGCGAAGGCAAGTTTCATAATATTATTACATTATGAATATTAACGATAACGTATCTGCCAGTGTCGCATATATGACCTTTTATTTAAGCATATATATAGTGGCAAGATCAGTTTTTGCGTAGTATATTTAGGTTTATGTTCGAACGTTTCTTTTGCAGTGCCATAAGCTGGAAGTGGAAAAGATTGAGATGCAAACGGACCAGTTGATCAGGGAACACGAACTACGCCAGCGTGACCTTATGATCGTGCGCTATGACCGACAGAGACTATTGTCTGACGAAATAATCATCAAACAGAAGCAACTCATCGAAGATATTTCACAGGGGGTCAAGCGAAAACGAGCGAAGGCGGGTTAGTTTCGAGCAGAGCCCTCACAACAACACTCCACAGTCATTATATCCTTTTTTGGTAATTACTTCGTTGTATGGCTTGCAACGTTTAGAGGAGCTGGAACAGGCAATTCTTAGTTTCGCCGTCGAAATTCTATCTCTCCGAGTCGTAATGACGATAATCCCTGTACCGTTTATGGATAGGGTAGTGTACATTTTAGTGTACAGTATCCTTTACGTGCTCACTGCACGATGCCGAAAGCATAATTAGGGTAATGATTAAAAAATGCGCATGTATCAACATAGGAATTACCTAGAATAATTACTTCAGTCACTCGATACATTCATAGAGCAAGACCCCAATGTACAACTCTGGTTGGATATTGGATATTCATGTGGTGGCGACGGCGGTAAATGATGCAGACGGTCCGTCAGCAGTCAGAGTTGCATAGCATTACGTGTCGGTAGTTCGGAACCATTCAGCGCAAGCGAACGGTTGTGTGAAAGAGCATAGACGTATGAAACAGGGGGCATTACTAACCGCTATGATCTGAATAGTAAGTGATCGAGTGCTATATTTTCAAAAAGCACTACGTCGCTAGGGAAGACTTTTGAAAGCTTGATTGACCGACCTTTTAGTATCTACAACAGCTCTATGAACGGTCTAAAATTGATGATGAGATTACTGGAAGCCTATACCTTTCAGTCAGCGATATTACACATATTATTGATGACACTGCCCAACCTGAAGCCACATAGAAAAGCTAAATACGAAACTAATAATCATGAGAAGTTTTTGCACGTTTATACAGTGGTCTAGCGTGCTACTTGTAGCTAGTCGTCCTCTACAGACACACCATGAATAAAAATAATAGTTAGATAAAAAGTATAGAACTAGTTAAGATTAAGATCACTCTAGTTGATAGCGAAAATAAGCAAAAGTAATCGAACTCTGAATACTTCCAGTCCAAGCAGTCAAGGAACTCAATGACTTGTACCGGATCTACGAGCAAGAAATCCAAGACTTATCGAGTGGAAGGGACACAGTGCTTAAACATTTGAATACAAATCCATACAGACCCGAAAGTGTTCTTGGCTTGAGACCACTGGGGTCTAGCGAAAGCATGTGGGAACTTAACCATATGACACCCCTCAATGAGGAAGGTGACGATGGACAACCGTAAGTAGCGACAATTTTCGGCAGAACTCCAACCATCGCATAGCATACAAAGTTGCACACAAGCCGTCTGAATTTCTACATTTTATACCTCTGAAGGGTTTTGAGACATAAAGATTAGGAGTTCACAAAGCAGTTAAAGAAATAAGTTTCCCAAAAAAATATAGTTTTCATTTATAATATAGTCATCTTTCCCCGTGTTATTACTTTATATGGTCAACTTACGTGAACCACTTTGTACTTAGACGTAGGGCTTTAATCTCGAACGTATGGCCCATAACGGAAGTAGAACATCTAGCAACAGTAGTGATACACTGGAGCCGTAATGCAAATGCATAGTTATGGAACTATGAACTAAAGACTGACAGGTACTCTCAATGATTTACTAAACGCTTAGCTTGCGACGAAACGTTTAAGTCTGTCCTATCTAAATGAGCATTATAGTCTACTATAGTAAACAATACTGTTTGATCTAGGATTTACGATAAAGAAATAATAACTTGACCGTGACGGTCTGAGTAAATTGTTAACATTCATGAAGTTACATTTTTGGGAAATAATCAAGACCAAATACTATAAAATATAGTTTTTGTAATATAGAAAAAAAAAGTATAGTTCAAACGTTAAAAATTAATATCGCCTAAGTTATCTAGCCATTTTCATCCTTTGGCTATGTTTTTTTCTCAGCTCATTGAAGTTCTAAACGAAGGGGCGACGAATCGCTTGGTATCTGGCATTCTGAAAAAAACTAATAGTTGTTACCTACTCACGAGCCTTCACTCAAATTTTTCATGTTTTGTCAACACTTCGTCGTATTGAAAGTAGTTTTTATCTGAAATCAATAGAATCTGATAAGTTTTTCGACCTAGTGTTTTCTGGACGTCTTAACGATTTGTATGACGACGTCGCCAGTCTCGTCGAAGTTAAGCTGTAGCAAGATTTACCATGTCTTGGCATTACCATACATCTGTAGGCTATATAATAATAAGTAAGGAATTGACTATCATAAAACCTATGAATTTTGTTAACTGAACTAGAGAAGAAACAGTGGCCTTCAACTCAAGTTACGAACAGAACGGTCTAAGAAATAAAAACTTCTCTTAAGACTATCTAATTGCACATAAAAAAATATATTTTTTTTTATAGATAGTCTCTCGCTATGATATAAAGCCCCTAAGTACATACTCTGTTTTTAATAAGGGTATGTTTAATGTTATCCTAAGGCAATCCTACCCATCCAAGTTTGGGTTGTTAACTAGAGCCAGATACTAAATCATTTATGAGGATTATATAAGAGTAACTTTGAGATTTCGAATTGCACACATCTCATAAAGGATGCGAGAATGACATCTCGATGAAAAATAATTTCCTATCAGGATAAGAACTGTACCTTTACCTTTATTCATCATTGATCAGACGAAATGATACGGCCCCTCCGGGATTTCCACGGCGGTCACCGAAGAGCACTGATTCGATGACGCGTGCCGTCGGATCTCGACAGCTGCGAGCGTCATACTCGGAGCCGGTGTCCCCGGCGGCGGTAAACTTTCCCCCAGTGGAGCACAATAATTTCGTGGCGAGTGGAGAAGGCGATATCGAAAAAGGTACCCGTCGAATCAATTCGGTAGCCCAGGAAAGACGGCAACGGGTCTCAGCTACGTCCCGCATGTACAGGGACGCCGATATTCAACATCGATCAGATAAACAACGAGGAGGTAGATCAGATGTAAATTTAAGTAGTAATACTGAGAGTTGAAACCCATAAGCTGGCTCTTAGTACCACTGTGAGCCTGAACTGTGATACTTATTAACACAAATTATGTCCCCGCAACATTCCCCACTAGTATTAAGTAATTAGTAAGTTTGCATTATGTGGCCAGTTCTTTATACTAAACAGGGCTCGAGCTTATTATCGTGAAATTTCGTTCCAGATCAGGACGGCTGCCAGATCCAGTGAGTGAAAGTTAACGTAGCAAATCGGCTGCGAAGAACAAAAGACATCGAATCTTCATCTGATTGGGATTAATTGCAATTAGCTACCTTATTTGTCATTGTTACTCATCTGTAAGTTCACAAAAGGTTAACAAATCACAGCAGTCTACTGTTGCTGGCTGGCACAAGCTGACTTCCAATGTATATATACATATATATATATATATATCTAAAATTTTCGACAGAAGGACCGCGTTCGACTAGAGATTCTGCAGCATGACAACCAACGTGTTTATCCATCAGATACAAAGATCTGCATTTTCACTTTTCAAATAGATATTATAATAATCTGCAGCAGTTATAGGTGATATTGATCTATAATCAATACAGCGGAAACAAATAGCGCCAATACTACAGGTTGTATCTTTGGTGGCCATGCGTCCTACCGCACTAAAACCCTATGCATAAGGTAAAAAATCATATGCGTTCATTTAACTACGATGTCAACAATCGCTATTAAATTTAATTATTCAACCAGTGGATTTATTGCGTAGCAGCTAGACAATCAATCAGGCTCTAGAGCGTCCACCAACAGCTCAAGCATCTTCATAATCTAAAGCGCGAAACTTTTGAATCTCCTTTAACGGCCAACTCACCTGTCTTCGTACGGCCATTAGTACTATCTGGTTACTTTAACATACGGTTTGTTTGTCCTTTGCAGCATAGAACATGTCCGTGCATCTTGCTAGTATTACGCTAAAGATGTCACTCCTTCGACAATACGAAGCCAAACAAGTTTTTTTGGACTCCGCACCAAATTGAGTAGGTTAGGTCAGGTAGCTTGCTTTATTACTTAAATATCATGATAAAATTTGCGGCTGCTGCAGACGGCCACTTTCGCCAACGAGCAGAAGTATCATACAATGGTTGATCTGTTCTCTCGTAGCCATTGACTCGACAGAAAGTACTGAGCTCACGTAAATCCTAACGGAACATCTGCGAACTGCAGCGTACTTGGAGACGACACGAAAATTGACCTTTTTATACCTGCGCAGTGAAAGGGATATTCTTCGAATTTCTATTGATTTCCTCAGTTCGTGGAACTTGAGTACTCTGCATATCAGCCCAACTTGTTGGAGTCAATCTGTAGAATATACTGTTCCCAGTAGAAGCGCCACACAGGAATTAAGGTCGAATTTGTATATTTACCGCTGCCGTTTACCTTTGGTACCACCAGCGCTACAAATATATGAGGAGAACTTGACATACATCTATGAAGGCCAGCTGCGTTGCCAAATTCATTTGTGTCCGTCACAAATATTGCGGGAAGTTGAAAAGCTCTCATGTCACGTACACTTCATACAGGTATGAATTAACCTACATATCCGGTTGTCAACTTACTTTCTACATGTTGTATGTACATCGTGTATATTTTTCATGACTAGAACCGGGTTCATTCTTAAAGATTAAATGGAAGAAGCTACCATGATCATTATATCTGATTGATTGTCGGTAGCCGGCTGTAGTAATAATGTGTTAAGGATCCACACCGTAGAATTTAGAGTAACTGATTACAGGCTTTCTACCCGTACATATATGAACTTGGCTTAAACTAGCAGGTAAATAAATATTCGAAAATTACTAGATGCTTGATTTTCATATAATTATTCCATGTCTGACTAAACCGTTGACATTCGCCCTTGTTATTAGCGTGATTACGATAGGCAAAGGGCCTCCTCGATCTGGGGCATTTAGAAATGTCAACGATCGTCGTACTCTGGCCACAGCGGAGTTTTCCATGTCGGTTGCGTTATTAGACACAGATGTTTATGGGGTAACACGATAATTGTACATGACCAGCGAGTATATGTATGGATAAGTACACTCTGATTTGCTTTGACTGCCGGTTATACTAGCAGCTGTAGTCACCGAAGGTTGAGTAAACAAGGGATTGACAACAAATCGACGTAAACGTTTTACCAAACCGCTTCGCGGTACTAACAAAAATATCCACCCATCAGTTCCGCTTCGTGGAACTCCTATAAGCACTGTGTGCGAGGATGTAAACGTAATATTCGCGCGCACCTCGGAGGTGTATATAGGCACACCTGTATCCGTCACAAGGACCCCGAATGAATACCGTCATAGAATATTATCGAAGTGCAACAAATAGCTATGAATATATATACGTGTGACACCCGTTCGTACCGCACGTCTTCGTTCTTCATAATGCTCGGGTGACTGTTGACATCCAGACACTCAGTTTTCTACAATGCACTATAAGTGTTGCTACCAAAAGTAATCCAATCCTATTATAACAGATACATGATGAGCGGAAGACCTTCATACTTGCCAGTCTAGTAACCTTTCGTGCGTCGCACGGACACAGTAACGGCTCAGTTTAGATTTGTTTCAATAACAATCGCCGTCTAAAGAGCAAGAGGGCAATAATGATGCAACCCCGAATGAATTCAAATAGTCCTCGAAGAAGAGAGAAAAGAAAAAGTCCTTGTTTTATTTCGTCACACCTGAAACATAGTTTGCGTCGTGGTGACGAGGCTTAGACCATCCTTGCACATTTCAGCTTATTGTGAAAGACCTTGAAACATAAGTCACTGGCGTGATTTTAAATCGTAATACTCTCAATGATAATTGCAGCTGTGCCATTGGGCGCTGCTTTGTGATTGAGAATAGTTGGGCTCTAGCTGTATTCGTGTGCGCTGCTTATTGGGAGAGGGTAACCCTTTCCACATAGGTCCAGCCGCCCGCGACAAAAAGACCGCGTGATTCCTCCTGGCTACTTCGACCGTTGTTGTGGATAGATCATTATCATCATCCGTTTAGCTGACATCCCGGCATTTCGCTTCGATTATTATCTGTCCCAGATAGACTTAATTTCGGGCGTCCAAGCGAACGCCTTCGAAAAGCGATACACGTGTCAACAAAACTCGCAGTTCGTCCTCCATAAATATCATTTTTAAGCGTAGTGCGCGTGCTTTTTATAAGTTTTGCTTATAAGGTTATACATTTGTGGCCTATCGAAAAGGTACCAGTGAGAAATATATTATTTTAACTGACTACCTTTAGGGCTGCGGATTTTTTTTTTCATTGTTGTAATTAACGTCCCTTTCGTTTCTGGCAGCTTAGGTCCTTTGGTATTTAACTCATCCTTTGATAATGGTAATAATAATAATAACCTGTCACTTTATTTAACGGAATGCCGAAGTTGATAAATAACAGTGGGAATTTCGAAAGGCTATCACGTTTGTATTGTGCTCGCAGATTTGTCGGGTCATACGTTCGTTGTTAACATAGTTTAGATATGCGTTACCTAATTGATTACCAGTTATCGCTATTGATCATATTTTCGCTTTTTTTGCTGAAGAACAGATTTCAATTAATAAGAGTATACCTCAGTGTGATAATTTCATAATTGGTATATAATCTAAATTATGGTCTTCGATTGAGTTAGAACCGAAATTAATTCAAAAGGCGTACAGGCTATTTCCAACAAGGACTCTGCGGTTAATTTTAATCTAGAATTACACCTTTGACCCTACATAGTACAACCTATTTGGCCATTAAGCGTCTGAACGGTTCCAAACAAACCATCAAAAGTCCATCGTCATAATATTTATTCGCTGATCACGTGTTGAAGGGTAATGCATGTGCCAGCGGTTTCTTTGATTACATCATATTTTTTAATAAAGCTTATTTTTAGCTAGATGCGGCTATAAATAAATAAAATATTCGCAAGACATTTACGAGTGAACAACCAATTTACAATTTCAGAAATTACTGTGTGGTACGAATTTCTGAGCAGACGATTGTACGAAACATTTTGTACTTGGAAAACGTTTATGAGACGGCAGCAATAATCAATTATGAACTCTACTGTGATACGCTGCATACTTTTTGTGGTTTAAAGTGAAGATACTGGATGAAAATAATTTTTGGTTTCAACGAAGTGGGGGTACGTCTCCACAAAGCGGAACACAAAGTAAACAATCATTTTGCTTGATTCATGTGCCAACTGATCCCGACGCGCGGCAGTGCATTTGAGTGGCCGGCCAGGTTTTGACGTTTGACTCCTTCTTGATCTTTTTCCTACGGACCTATGTAAAACACAAGGCCCTAAAAACAACTCCGACAACAGTCTGCAACCTGAAACACAATATCTGCTGTGAAATGATTTGTTGAATTAACACTGAGTTATGTGTCTTTGTGGAAAACTTATGTGGAAATTTTATAGATTAAACACTCTGGGCTGGCTGCTAACGTACGGATAAACACAACCACAAAAGCCTGCGTTTATTGTTCATTCCGGAGTTGCACTGGGATTATTTGACAGTTTTTACCGCGCCCTAACGTCCGCCACGGTCGTCTTAAAAATGTTTTTGAAACTTTTTATTCAAATTTCTATTCAGCTCATAACCAATTAAATTTTTCCAGATGAACCGTAAACTTCTTCTTCTCTCGAACTCGACAACATATGGGACATCATACCTCAGTTATGCTAAGGCTGGTATTATGATTTTATAATCAAACAATAGTTCTGAACAAACAACTTTACATAAAGATACATTAACTTTAAAGAGATCTTTTAATGATTCATCACTGACCACTTCATAGTTATTTACTTTTATTTTTCGGACCTTACATTCATGTCTTTGATCTAAAACTAACGATTTCAACTACCTAATGCAGGATATGATAAAGGCATTCTTAGGGAAGCATGAAGTATCAGAGATACTTTTTGTTCCATATGCCCGATGTGACTATGAGGATTATACAACAACGGTTCGGGAAGCGGTTGAGCCGATGGGATTCTCGGTTAAAGGTACATGCACATAGATAAATAACTTTTCTTTTTAACTTTGTAAATTGCCAACTTTTCGTTATTTTACATAATAGCGATGTATTTCAAGTTTCTGTCTCCGGTTTTTCTTTGTACTTCTATTTGAAACTAGGTGAGTATAATCGCATTTTTGGTATAAGTGTTCGGCATCTCGGGGCGAAGGAACGTCCACCGAAAAAGGCCACGCTGAGGGATTGAATGAAGAAGCCGTTTCTCACATTTTTTTGGGTGTAACAGCGTGAAAGTTGCTAGTCTTTACACTTCGAATTATTATTGTATGTAGGTAGAAGACTCTAAGCTGGACGGTTCGCTATTGAACTAGATGATCATAGCGAGCGAAAAGATCGGTAGCTCAATCGACGCGCTGATTGTAAACATGCTTCCCTGGCTATGATTCATGATGCTATACCAAGGTTACATTGGTCATTTTGAACTCAATAGTCAGTCAAGATGTCAAGATTTGCTCACATTTACTGCATGCATATGTTGCAGCAAACGTAAATAAAATAAATCTAAAAAAAAACTATTTGAACCATAATCAACGCTTCTGTGTAACCTTTCTCTAAAGTTCTGTTTTATTACATTTCTATAATGCGTAATTGACGTTCACCTGCGAATAGTTCCACAATCGAATTTTGATATGGATTTTGATATGGATTTGTTCCACAATGGAATTTGATATGGAAAGTTTACAATAAGAGGCTACGATATTATAGCAGTGATGAAAATCTTAATTTTTAATAAAGTATTATAGTTTTATATTAAAAAACGGATTGTTTTGGCTTTATTCAACGGATTACACATTGGGTAATTGTTACATCATTCTTGAATCGCAAGTTTTTGTTACAGACATTTTTCGTATATATATTTTTTAATTAATGATGTCTTTGTCTAATTTATTTTTTATGATGCCTAATCTATCGCTGAAGGTATTCATACGTTCCCTTCACCGGTCGAAGCTGTAAATAAGGCCCAGTGCATCTTTATCGGCGGAGGAAATACTTTCCTTCTTCTAAAAACCTTGTATGAGAATCAGTTAGTTGAACCTATCCGCAAACGAGTATTAGAAGGAAATCTTGTTTATATAGGATCAAGGTAAGCAGTACACTGCAAAATAATCACAGGACTTCCTGATTGTTTTATTGAATCGCATATTCTCCTTTATTTTTACTACCCTTGCAATTTATATGTCAACGGAAAAAAGTTGACAGTGGCTTGTGAATGATCAGCTTTGATAAGGATGTGTTATTTATTATAAATTGAGACTCAATGCTAGCATTACTACCGCCACTGATGCGTGGTTCAAACGACTTTACCCACATGGACCACCTACCCTTCCCGTAATAAATTTTAAACAATTCTATTAAAAGATATTTTAAGTACCTCAACACTATGAATATTATAGGGTCATTTGGAGAGCATCCTCATACCGCATCTACAAATATCAATCATAATTATAATCAGTATTCTTTCCAATCTTTTTAGCGCCGGTACAAATGTATCTACGCCGTCTATTAACACCACAAACGACATGCCAATCGTCTACCCACCAACCTTTGAAGCCTTGAATCTGGTATGTACTTCGATGGATACTATATCCCATAATTTATTGCGAGTAAAATTATATGTTATATATATATATATATATATATATATATATAAA